AGCCTTCCTGGAGCATTCCCGGAGCATTCCCAGACACCCCAAACGCTCCTGGCCGTCCCCAGCGGCAAGGGACGAACCCAAATCTCGGGGTGCGGAGAGTGGGGACCCCCCGACGGGGCTCCCAGCACCTTCCTAGTTCCCACCTGCTTCCCAGTTCCTGTTCCTGTTTGCTTACTGGGCTCCCTCCCTGCGCCGCTACACGTGGCTGATAAGGCACCTCCCGGCGCTTCCAGCAGCTTTTTCCCGAGGCTCCGTAATTCCCAAAGTATGGAGCATTCCCTCTCGGTACCCACAGGATGCTCCTCTAACTCTGCTCCCACCAGTAAAGCCAGTGGGAAGCAGCAGCTCCACCTTTGGCGACTCCAGCATCCCATTCCTTATCCATCCCCGACAGCTCCAGGATGATAGGGCTGGGAGGGGGGCGAGGGATTCCCAGGTGGGAATACACCCCCGAATTCCATGCAGGATGGCTGAGAGCCACGGCTGGTGGAAGCTGACATTCCTGAGGAAGCGCCAGGCAGCGCCCACGGTGCTGTACGAGAGTCCTGACGGTCACAGTGCCACTGCCACCGCCGGGGACAGCCAGGAGGGCACAGACTCGGAGGGACCACCAGGCTTCGCTGCACGCCTGGAAAAAATCGTGGACAAGAACACCAAGGGGAAACACGTCAAGGTGTCCAACTCGGGGCGCTTCAAGGAAAAGAAGAGAGTGAGAGCGACGCTGGCTGATAACCCCAATCTCTGCGCTGCTGCCGCCGAGCGGGAGGAGAAGTGACCAGGCTGGATGTCACCCTCCGGCCACTGCCACCCGCTGTCCGGGCTGGATCGGCTCCGACCCCCCCGGGGATGCCAGTCCGGGAGGGTTCAGAAGGAGAGAGGACTCCGGATGGTGTTTATCTAAGGATAAACCAAGGACCCTGTTGGATTGACCGGGGCGCATCGCGTCCCACCCCCCCAGGCTCACTGGTTCCTACTGGGATGAGGACACTCCCCCAGTTCGGTCGCCACAGGCAACCTGAGCGCATCGCCCACCCAGCTCTGCCCCAATCCCGTTCCCAAATCCATTCTCCCACTGCTCCTGCGGGGGGAGACCCGAGGATCCCCC